AAGGGTTAACTGCTCATTTTGGTCTAGGGGCTGGATTAAAGAAGATATACCTACTCGATCCGGCCTGGCTGCTAGACCGGTCCCCACCGCCTCTGCTCCCCTAGGCTCTGGCGGTCTAAGCCCTGCCAGCCGTCATCACCTCTGATACATTCACCAGCATTCCACATAAGGACTCCGAGGGACATGCCACAGCCGGAGCAGAGGGGAAGATGGGAGAGCTCTTACTGCCGAGGGACTAAGGATCATGTGAGCATATCTGCTGTATTCCGGCTCTTAGACCAATAAAAGAGCAGATTAAATGACTAGAAACCCAAAGCGCACATCTCACCCATCATGCATCCTTGTAATCCAAATAACCCTCTTCTACCTGCAGAACCAGCACACAATGCACTTCCAAGGAAAACAAATCTTTATTCCACATGCATCTGTGCAATATGCACAGATGCGTGTTGGACCAGCACATTCCACATGCATCTGTGCAGAAAAACCAACCGCTGACGCGTTTCTGCCTTGCACAGCCTTAGTCATAGCTGGTGCCCAGCTACAACTACGGCCGAGTAAGGCAGAAACGTGTCAGGCTTTTTTGGACAGATGTGTGTGGAATAAAGTTTGATTTTCGTCGGAAGAGCATCGTGTGCTGGTTCTGTAATCTTTAAAACGAGCAGTTAACCCTTGCAGTGCGGGGGTAGCCCCACTGCAAGGGTTCCATTTTGTTAATAGCCGGAGTTCCTCTTTAAGAATCCGATTGGTTGCTGTGGACAAAACTGGTTTCCTCAGGCGGCAGACCTCAGGGACATTAATAAATGATTCCGAATGTTGCTAGTCTTATAAAGATAAACCAGAGTCAAACAAACAAGTTTGTTTTAATATAAAGATAAACGTTTGTGCAGAAGTTAGACAGAAAAACTCGAGGAAAAAAAAAAATCTTCAAAGTAAAACAAAAACAAAAAAAATATTTTCCGTTCACATAAAAAACTTTCACATCTCATTTTTTTTTAATACATTTTTGTTATTTTTTTACTCTTCATTTCATAACTTTAGGGAAAACACACCGCCCCCCCCCCC